TTATATATGAGAGTGTTTAAGACTAAATTATAACGTATTCCTAGATAAATCTTCTCTATTCTAGTCACATAAGGTAGATAAATTTTGTACTTTATTTTTCAAGAGGAAATTATTGCTGAAAATTTTTGCAATCGGTTTTAGAAAATGTGAAAACGGTAGCAGAAAAGACGACAGAAACCTCTCAGCCTTGGAGAAAAATGCCATTTTGGAACGTTCAGGTAAATTTAAAAAGTATAATTGAAGGAAATTACAAGACTTAGTAGAGATTGTTTTATTCTTTAAGTATACGTATTGAAGACAAAGTGTTATTTCAACCTCCAATCGTCTAACCTCTAAACTCCGTCACTGTCGTAAATCTCATCTTCAGAAAACATTGCGCTGTTTGTAAACAAATGCAATTTACGTCATTTCTAGCATGCTGAAAATTTGCAAGCAAATTTCAAGACATTGAAAGAGTCCCGCTTAAGAATAGGTAAAAAATAAACAAGAGCTACAAGAAAGCTATTGTATCTACCATATATTTTGTAAAATCAGTATGCACTTTTCCTTATTCATCGATATCTGTGCGACACCATGCATATTTGCATCTCTGAGTCATTTGTAGGAAGGTTAATGTCAAATGTACATGCATCACAGGATAAACCATATCGAAAAGATAAAATATTTCTTTTTTGTCTACATTTGCTATTATGCACTAAACGTTGGCGATATCGTTAATGCGTTGTTATTTATATACGGGAAAATAAAACAGACATGATTTTAATCCATTTTATTTCAATATTGTTGATTGATGGCGATTGTTGGTCGTAGCAAAGCAGCAAGTGATCGCCGAGCGTAAAGGGCGACCTCAGAGTACATGTACAACTAGCACAGCAGCAGCAGCAGCATCCAACATAAAAGTATAAATATACTATAAAGAAACATAATATAGCTATTCCGAGCATACCACGAACGGAAATTATATTTACAGAAACTTTACATATATGTAGTTATCATTCAGGTTAACTGCGAACGTTACTGGAAATAATTTAGCAAGCAAAGCAGTTCTTAAATTTGTTGAAAACAGCAGTAACTGAGTTTGTTTCATACCAGCTAATATATTTATTGAAAGCAGAACACGTTTTCACAGTAAAAGAGTTTGTTTAAAGCGGCAGCAGAACAAAGAATTATAGCATCAGTTGAATGGTTCGGCTCAAATGCCACGTAAATAAATAAATAAATAAAACATTTGTAGAGCGCCTGTTATAATAAAGGCGCTTAACAACAAGATTATAGTAAAATAAATGAACAAGATAGTAATTAAAACTTTAAAAAGAATAAAAAAATGAAAGATGCATAAAAATTGAGAAACATACATGATAAAGAAAAGTGGAATGTTTGCTGCGTTGTGTTTTGAAGAGAAGATACTTAGCTCAGTTAAGTTTCAACAGGTTCTTAGCCATCAATGAACTAATGTCTGCTATACACGTTTCTAATCCTGAAAAATAGTTATTCCACCCTTCCATTAGTCTTATAACGAGGTAAATTTGTGAGTCATCTGCATAACAGTGGTAGTACAGTCCATGTTGTCGACAGATGGCCTCAATTGGTTTGGAAAACAAACAGTAGAGTTTCGGTCCAAGAACAGACCCTTGAGGGACTCCAAATGGAAGAACTCGCTCGCTGGATTTGAGAGAGTTAATTGACACAGATTGACGTCGATTTTCTAAGTAAGATTAAATCCACTTTAAGGCTCCGCCTGTTATTCCATAAGCTGCATTAAGCCTATCCAATAGGATATGATGATCAATGACATCAAATGCAACTGACAGGTCGAGGAGCACAAGGACAACAGATGACCCACTATCTAAAGTCAGCGTAATGTCATGATGTACTTTGAACAAAGAAGTTTCTGTAGAATGATGTTTTCTGTACACTTACCGCATTGTGTCACTGAGGCAATTTAAGTTTACATGGTTGTCTAGTCTCTTATAATTAGCAACTACCTTTTCAAGTATTTTAGAGATGAAAGATAGGTCTGTAGTTTGAAAGGATTTGTTTTATCTAATCCTGGTTCTTGAGCAGGGACGTAATAACTGTCTCCCTGAAACTAGAAGGAACTGCATATTCTGAGAGAGATGCGTTTATTATTGATGATATAATAGGAAGAAGCGATTCCAAGCATTGTTTTGTCAGATAATTTGGGAGCGGATCAAACTCGCAAGACTTGGTTGCCGACGTTTTGATGATTGACTCAACTTCATCTTCAGTCGTCAAATCAAAGGCAGTTAAGTGTTCTCCAGTGAATTTCAAATCTACTCTAAGGGGTTCTGACTGATCTGCTTGGCTTTGTTGGAGTCCTTCTCGTATCTTAGTCACCTTGCTTATGAAGAAGTCTGAAAAGGCCTCCACAAGATAAACATCTGGCAAAGTAGTTGGTAGAGGGGATGCTGTTTTTTCCATGAGGTCCTTTGTGAGCTTAAAAAAGCTGTTTATATTAAAATCTCTGCCACTTTCCACAACTTTGCACGAATAGTAGTCCTTCTTTGCTTTGTGAAGCAAGACGCTTGTCCGTGTACACTGTTCCTTGTAGAGCTGGTGATGAATTTCCATGCCCGTGCATCGCCATAATCTCTCCATTCTACGCCTTTCCTGTTTAGATTCACGCAGCTCCTCAGTATACCAAAGTGTGTGTGGTCTTACGATGACAGATTTATTTATCGTTGGAGCAAGCTTATCTACAATAAGTCTTAGCTTGGTTTTATACAAGCTCACAAGGCTTTCACAAGTTTGTTTGTCCTGAAGGAGAACTAGATTTTCTTTGATTTCAATTCGTAAATCGGTTATGCTGATGTTCTTGATTTTAAGAAATGTTAATTCTTTCCTTTCTGGATCTTTTTTTTTTTTTACGGAGAGTGTTGCAAGAATAACTAAATGGTCGCATTTTTGATTGCCTTTATTGTCACAAAGGTGGGGATCTTTAACAATTGGAACACTAGAAAGTATATTAGATGTTGACCTGGTGATAGGAAGGATTAATGTATATCCTTTCACATGAGTGGGCTCGTTTATGTGTTGAATAAAGTTCCTATCATTCAGAATTTGTAGAAAACTAGATGCATGAAAATTCAAATCTTGAGAATGGATCGGAGAAAGTTTGATTCCTTCTTTAAAAATAACAACAATTCCACCGCCGCGGTGATCCTTACGATGAACCGCGTAATGTTATAACCAACTGGCACCAGGTTGCAAATTACACTTTCATCAACGTTTGTGCCCAGCCAGGTTTCCGTAATTGCTAAAACGTCAATGTTTTCTCTACCGACTGAGCTACCGTGAACGGTAACTTTGTTCTGAGGAAAACCTATGTTACTGATAGTGTAGGATTTCCGATTAAATAAATCATGTTCTTGTATTTTGTAATAGGTCAGCTTTTCAGAAAATTATTGATTGATTGTTGTTTAGTGTCCCATTGGAGAATTTTTCACTCATATAGAGATGTCACCACATATTAGTGAAAGGCTTCAAATTTAGACCCTACTCGGCACGCAGAGCCATTGAGCTGTGAGGGATCTTTATCGTGCCAACAAAGCATTGGCTTTGTCTTGTTGGTTGATTGTTTTAATGTGGAGGACAGTATTTTATATCCGGTGTTGTGTCAATGGGGACCTGAACATAAATGCATGGTCAATAAATGATTTATCTGAAAAATTCCCTTATATAAACCAAGAATTTTCAAATGAATAAATGCTGTGAAAAATTACAAAAACACTGGTTATAATGTTTTGATGCCCCTTTATTCACAAGACCCTCCACGCCACCCTTAATTTTTTTTTAAATAATGCTCGAAACCACAAATTAATTTCCATGTATATTCCTGGAATACGTTGTTTTTTTTTAATAAATAACATTTTTTCAAAAAAAGATCACACCACAAGGGAACTTTTCAATACAAGCCAATCGTGCATTACCCCGTAAAAAAATTACCCATTGATGCGCTAAATCAACATATCAGATACATGTATGTGCCCATAATAGTGAGCACAGCAATGCGAGCTATAACGACAACGCAATGGCGAAGAGAAAATTCGGACTTTGCAAATCGATTCAAATGAACTTTTTTCCGCAGTTATGTCTAGACTCACAATGCAACGCTTGTGGATCTCGCTGCTTACTACGTTCTCGCGGTACATTGTTACAACAACTAAAAAAAAAAACACAAAAAAAAACAAACTCACCTTGATTTAACGGATATTGCATATGGATAGTAGATTCAACGTTCTTTGTTAAAAATTTGCACTTTTCAAAATTTTATGGACATGCAGCTAACGTGCGACGTCCTGTCACATCACAGTTTAGACGTTCTAAATGTCTCGTGCGGTTTGATAAAATCAAGTGAACAACTGCGCTCACTCAACAGTCGCACCGTCAACATATTATTTTATGAAACTATTTAAAAAAAAAAACTGTGATTGAAAGTATATTTTTACAAAAATCTGTCTGCTACAAAAGTCCTTTCGTTTTTGGATCCAGGAAAGAGGAGAAATTTGTGATATTCCGATCCCGATCTTTTTTTTCTAGCTAACTGGACTCAAATAGCAGATCTGAAACTTAGTTTTCCTTATGAAATAAGCGCATCTTTTTTTTATTTAACTCATAAATGTAAGTATTAATAAACATATAAAAAGTATATAAAAAATAGCATTTTTATTTTTTTACTCTCAGTAAAAACAAATAAATACTATTTTAAATCGTAAAATTTGATTTTTCATGTTAACTTATCTTAGAATAAAACGAAAAAACTGCAAAAAATATTTCCAATACATAATGTATATGAATACATCCAAGTGAGGGAGTTAAATTATGTACACTAATTTGATATACGTTAAAAACAGAACTTTTATGTAAGCAAGATAACATTTTTGTTTCTGTATAAAAATAATTTCTGAGGTCATATTTAAATATTGCAAGCAAAAAAATAAATCAAAACATAATTCAGCAACGCAGCGTATTTTCTGCTAATGGTAACGGTACTGGGGGTTAATTAAATAAATGATAAAAATAAAGAATATAATTTATAAAGGGCATAAATATGTGAAAAAATGTAATAATTTCAAACTAGATAATGAACCTCTGCAGTAATTTCACACTTTTTAAAGTGTAGATCTAGTACTTTTCCCTGCAATAAAGATTAGCTTGATGCATATATACCTAAAGGCTGAACAAAGGGGATAAGTTTTGCTTCTTCGCCTGTTCTGCAAAAGAAATGATATATTGTCATTGTTGTTTTTTTTATTTATCTTTCAGTCGTTTCAATCCCTTAAGGATTATATAACTGGCTATCATCCTTTGGAAGATTCCAATGTAACAGATGTCAACGTTCTTCTGCTAGGCCAAGTTGGAGCTGGAAAATCTAGTTTTTTCAACACAATAAACTCAATATTCCGTGGAGAAATAACCTCCCGTGCTTGTACAGGAAGTTCGGAGCACAGCTTGACAAAAACGGTACATGTTTCCCATTAAAGAGTAATCGAATTCAAAATAATGTAAGCACTATACATTAGTTGCGTTAACCTGTGTAACCTAATTAAAGTCAGTGTAGTTCTCTCTCCTCTTTGATGCTCATCTTTATGCATTGGTCAGTCTCCTTAACTGTAACGAGAAAAGTCTGTTTTCTGTAAGATTTTTAATTTAAAATTTGTTAAATCTATATGGGAAGAATTAATCAGTATCTACATTCAAATTTAATCAACATATCCCCAAGAATGGCGGTACCATACCGAATCACTCGTAGTTTATACGTGCGTGTAGGTTTCAGAGAAATAAGTATTTGTTAATTTGTTATCTCACATCAGAAGCATAAAACATAATTAAAATACAACAGTCTTACAAAAGAAAAAAAAAAGGCATCGCTCTCGAACACGTACACGTTCACTCAGATCCAGTCAGTCCAATTATAACAATACAGATTCTTGTTAAACCAGTATAAGTCCTATAGATTTACTCGACAAATGATAATTTTATAAATAGAAATCAATGTGCTGATCATGAAAACTATATAAAAAAAAAACAGTAAACAACCAGATAAATGGTCTAATACATTTTAAAATGTTTTTAGTTCCATAATTTTAAAAAAAAAGAAATATATAGCGTAAGATCAACTTTATAAATAGAGGAAATACCAAATTAAAAATTGAGTGAAAATAAATCTCATTTTTATAGGTACATGTAAGTGAAATATCCCAGGATGAAGATAACTGAAAAATTATTTACACCCCAAATCTCTTAATATTTCTAAATTCTAGGCTAAATGTGATTTTTAAGTCCAAAAGGCGGCATCTAATTTTTGAATTGCTTAGTATTTTGGAAATGATATGTTCAGTGAAGATGAGGAAGAACTCTTTAAGAAAATTGAAAATGTAAATCCAATTGAAAATGAGATATTTAATATATTTGTGTTCGGGTTTTTTCTTATTTTCCTTTGTATAATTAATTATGGTATTTCACTCGTCACTTTTTGAGAAAAGTTTGGTCAGAACCTCTAAGTTAGAATTTATTTATCCAAATTCCGTTTTTATGGCATATTTGAATTAAACAATGCAAATCATACAATATTCAATTTAAAAACTGCTCACAAAATTCCAAAGGAGCAAGATTTACCGAGGATATTTCTTGTGGTGGAAGGATATTTAGAAGAGAATTCTTCAAATCTACACATTTATTTGATTTAATATAAATATTGGAACTTTTAGCCCTATACATTTTTATTCGAATAATTTTCTTGTTATTATATGCTAGGAATATTAAATACACGTTTCAATTAACATTTTTAAAACACATTTTACGTATTTACTCAAGATACTTTAGCAAAGAATGAAGATATATTTAAGAAGTCAAGATAAAATTTACGTTCGATTTGTTTTTGCCTGGAAATTTCATATTTTGACCAATATCTCAAAATTTACATCACTGACCTTTAATCATTATTTAAAATTACATGATTAAACCGATCAGAACTAAACTCATAAAAAGCTTGATAGAAGAAAATATTTCATTGCCTATCTAGATTCTTAATACCCCAAATTTGATATTTTTTTTAGTGCAAAAAGCTCACACAATACTTAACACGCATTAATTTGCATGACTTTTTCAATAATAAATATTATTCGAACTATTTTTTATAAAATAATGTTATTTTTATTGCTATGATTACATTTGGTAAAATATGATAAATGATTAAGTGATTAATCGAAAAGTGACAATATAAGTGAAAAAGGTCAAGTTAATTGTGCCATTGCTCAGTAAGATGCACACTGACCCCCAATTTTCTTTGCGATTTTGAGTCGTGCTTTTGAGTACTTTTCTAATATATACTTCTCAAAAAATCCTTGATATAATTCATATAACGCGTGACATAGATTAGATAGAAATCTGTCATATTGGAAACAATATGGCCGCCATTCAAATTACGAAAATGTACATCCCAAAATGACAACCTCAGTCTGAATATAAAATTCTGTAAAGGGGTATGGACCTCTGCTCACTGAATTTTGTTTTTTGCTTTTTATACTTCCAACAAACGAAATTTGAGGGGAATATTGGAATCTTCTTGTCCACCTGTCTGTTTTTACTCTGGCAATTGAAGTTTATAGAGTATATAAGAATCGCCTTGTCTGTCTGTCTTAAATTTTCTCCGGGCTATATCCATGTAACTTTGTAAGGAAGAATCATTGGAAGGTTATACCTGGTACAAAGATTGTTTTGGACCTAAGGGTTTCTGATGACTTTATCCCAATGCAATTCTGTAAAGTTCAAGGTCACTGGCAGAAAAAGTATAAAAAAAATTGTCCTGACAATAGCTTTGTAATGGAGAATCATTGGAAGTTCATACTTAGTATAAAGATTGCTTATAACCAAAGTGTGTGTAAAATCTTGACACAAGGTCATAGTGACAAGTGCAAGGTCACTGGCAGAAAAAAATACAAGATTCATGAAAGTCCTTGATTTTCTGCTGGATAAACAGTGCATGTCAATATTTCTCTCAAAGATCCTTTTATACGAGAGGATGTGTTATTTTTTCTAATCAAGGTCATTTTGGCAAGTTTACAAAATTGCAAATAGGCTTTTTTTTTTATTTATTTAAAATTTTAAACCAGAAAATTAAAAGAATGTTTAACATACTTAGAGAAATTGAGACAATCTTCCTTCAAATTCTATGTATGAAACGAAGTTTATCAATTGCAAAGTTATCTCACAAAGCAGATGAACTTTTTTCCTAGAGTTGATGAATGTTCGATGAACAATTTTGTATTTTATGTTTGTTTTTATTTAAATAGTTTCGAAAATACAGAATTCGAAACCCAGGTTCAGGACGGTATTTAAATATAAGATTGTGTGACACTAGAGGTCTGGAAGAAAGTCTGGGGATAAAGACACAGGATATTGCATATATTTTAGACGGACACATTCCAGAACATTATCAGGTGATTTGACATAAATCGTTGATTTCACCTTTTACGTAAACCAAGTTTACAGTTTTAATTATGTGAGCTCAAACTACTTAGGGATAAATAATTCAAATTTAAAATTTTATTAACTTCAATTAAAATGATATTTTTTATGCTTTTTCTGATTATGTTAATTTCACATTCTTTAAAGTTACAATTCTTTTACAGTTTAATACAGCTTCACACGCAACGCCAAAAGTACAAGGTTTTGTGAGAAATCCCAAGCTTGAAGATAAAATCCATTGTGTGGTTTTTGTGTTAGATGCCAGTACTATTGACGTCATTAGTGAAGCGGTTCTCCGTCAAATCAAAGAGATTCAAAGCGTTATTGTCGAGAGAGGTATTTTTTCCTTTACCAAAAAAAAAAAAAAAAAAAAAAAAAAAAAAAAAAAGAAAAGAAAAAAATTAAGAAGAATTAATTATTAATTATATCATCAATAAAAAAGTAAACAAACAATTGAGCACACCGAAAATATTTTTGAGAACTTTTTTTAAAATGTTACTGCCCGTGCCATAAAAGAAATTGTTTTTTCCCATGTATTCAAGGTTTCTATGAAAGAATAGTTTATCTATCTCAATTGGAAGAGGATAATGTACACGTAGCTTTGAGAGTTCGTTTAACAATGCAAATCCTCAAAAGAGAGAAAAAAAGTTTTGATTTATAATCTTTGATCCAAAAGAAATTTAAAATTAAGCAAACCAGACATGTCCTAACAATTTAAATTTTCCCCTAAAATATCGAATATTTTTAATTCCTAAAACCTGCTCAAAATAAAATTGTTATAGAAATTTGCATTAAAGTATGTTTAAGATTCAATATTGTTCAAAGTCATATAAATCAAGAAATTTCACTATATAGCCATTTTTATTTTATACATAATAATGTAAAGAAAAATGTTTGCAAAAATATATAGAAAAAATATTTGAAGTATTACAACAAGTGGGAATTTTGTTTTGTGAATGCACTAATTTACTATAATGTGGTCATACAACAATGTAAATCGATCATAAATACCCGATTGAAAGGACGAAACACATTAATATCCAAAATAGATCGGCATTTAAGATTTAATTTTTTCATGATTTTGCATTGAATTTCACTTAAATAGAAAATATGTAATTATTTAGAAGATAATGCAACTGCGTTGTAATTCTGTGTTTTGGCGACTATACTTATGAAATATATGGAGATAACGAAAAGTATTCAAGCTCAAAAGTCCATTAAACAATACAAATTTTGGAGCAGAGCAAACACGAACCTCTTAAACTATTTAACAGATTTATATAATATTTTTTTTTCACATATATGTCCTTTAATATTATTCAAATAGGTATTCCGCAAGCAGTCTACCTGACGAAACTTGATAAGATATGCCCACATGTAGATATGGATGTCACAAAAATCTTCACAAGTACAGTCTGCAAACAGGCCGTGGATAAGGTTGCTGAGATGATTGGTGTACCCAGGTCACAAGTTTTCCCTGTGAAGAATTACGAGAAGGAGACCCGGTTACATATTTCTATTAACATTCTGGCTCTTTCAGCTCTCCGACAGACTCTTGTGTTTGCAGACGACTTTCTGGAAGATCAATATGAAATTGGTGATGTGTACTGATACCATCTGTTATCAGGTGACTGAGGGAAGGATTCCTCTGATATTAATTGCATTGAAAAATTAATTAAATTTCACAGACTCATGAAGACAATATCGTTTAGTGATGTCATTATAGTTATATTGTCTTACTTTTGTAGCAAATATTGGTCATGGTCATTATTTTTCCTCATCTTTAGGGATAAATATCATCTACTTATCTACTTTAAAGTTCCCAATTTTATTGCTCTTATTTAAGAATCTTAATAGTACTTCTGCATATCTGTTCAAATTTTGTTACTTAGTATCGATGGGTTTGATTGGTTTATCTGTTCACTTTCACTAGAAAACAATTTACAAAATTATAGTTCATTGTACCAACCCTTACAAAAAAGTACTATAGTTAACTATAGTTTACTTTAGTTAACTATAGTTTACTATAGTATCAAAGTTATTTTACTATAGTAAATCAAAGTATTTTTACTATGGATTTTAGATTGTTATATTTTTTGTTCTTCAATTCACACATGCATATATTTTATATTAAATTGAAATATTATTTGTATATTCACATATTATTTCCAAATTTAACATTACTGCTTTTGAATATTAGAGATTTTAATCTTTGAAATCTCAAAAAAAGTTCCAGAGTAAAGTTTCATTGTAAATCAAAGTATCAAAGTTTTCACGATAGTTAGATATAGTAAACTATAGTTAACTGTAGTAAATTTTTGTTAGGGAACATAAAAAATCCAGTTTGTTATATCAAGAAAATTACAGTTCATGAAATCTCCTTTTTAATTATAAAGACACTGTATTTGATTTACCATTATTGTACATCCTGTCGCTAATAAGTTCACTTTTAATATACTCTTCAAAAAGAAACATATAATAAAAATAATACAATAATAATAATGAATAATATAACATAATTTTGTCATACAATACTGTTGATTCAATAGGTTAAAATTCACTATTTTTTAAAGCTATTGCTAACTTAACAGTCATGCTTTATAACATACAGACAAAAAGATCTGATTTAACAAAATGCTAAAATTTGGTCTTTTTTGACACTTTTCTTCTGTTGGTTTCTGATCCGCATCATTCGGGTACAAAAGGTCTATTGAAAGCTTAGGTTCTCCATTATTCTTTGTTTGTCGAAAATTGACACTATTTAAAAATGCTACATCTGAATGATGCATGTAATAAATCGGATATTGGGCGACTGAAAGCAGGTGTACTACAGTATACAACTGCATGAGTTTTAATGTTGCATAAACACCATATCTCACTTATAAAACTGATACCAACAGCATAGTAAAATAAATAATCGCCAAAAATATGACAGACTACGCCCGACATCAGCAGCATAGAATAACCTTATTGGCTTGCGTAATCCACAGTGAGGTCGTCTACAGCATTAGCTATCCCTGAACAGCACAGAATATCGAGCGAGACCGTTTGCAATTGACTACGGGATTACGTGCAGGGGACTTATTAATGCCATTGTTGTGACCGCACAGCATCACCAATACCGAGTAAAAAGGTTTCTCACCAACAGAGTTTTGCCACAGCAACACCACAGAACAGTTTGGTTTAGTTATGGGTCCATACTGTGGAATCATTTAAATTCGTTGGGATCAATGTTCGTGGGCAAGCAAAATTTTATTAGTTCGTGGGGATGTAATTTCGTGGGCAGCTCGTTTATTTGGTAGATTTAATTAATCAGTAGGTTGACAAAAAATTGTTCGTGAGGATGTAAATTCGTGGGTAAGGGTGACCCACAAAATCCACGAACATTGATCCCCACGAACAATGATGATTCAATAGTAATTTTCATTGCAAAGCCTGATGGAAGAGCCGGAGAGCATAAGATTATCAATGCTTGCTTCGCAGAAAACTGTCATTACGTACACGATGGTGATATTGTAATAATGTGGACAACGGTATTATATGCAAGCAGGGCTGATTTGGTTCATATTCATAAGAATTTGATGACACAACGATACTCTGAAGATGTTCCTATTTGTACCTGAACATGTTTTTCCAATAATGCAGCATTCTGGAGCCGTAATCGAATCTGACACACAGCAACATAAGGCTCGTTTGATTACTAAAATTAATAAAAAAAAACTACTTAATTACTATGCGAGTGAAATCTAAATATAGTTACACAGTCCTCTAGGCATGCTTTAAGACACCCCCCCCCCCCCCCCCCATGTACACATCAAGTAATTTCTTTAGAAGATTTTAAACTAATCAAAAATATCTTTTTCATGCTAGTGACGAATAAAAGATTTCGCTGTTCTGAGTGATTCTGAACATTTTAATTCCTCTTTTTATCCTTGTTTTCACTCTTTATGCATTAAATTAAGAAGCTGGGGATATTTCCTTGCTTCACAATTACTCACAAATAACTACAGGCACTAAAATTTTATAAGTAAGTGGGATTTATCAAGTAAGTCGGAATAAAGAAAATTAAAATTTCGTGTTTTTTTCCATAGATGATCTACAACTAACTCGTGGACAACCTTCAGATTGTGAATTTCAGGCTTAGAAAAACAGTACAAGTAGAAGAACAAAAATATTAACATTAAAATGATAGTGTAGCTAAAAATATTATAAATATGAATTACTTATACCCCTTGTGTGTTGGAAAATAGTGTACGAGGCATCCATTTTTTTTTTCATAATACATAATTTTCATGAAATGAAAGAATATGTATTTACAGAAAAATTTCTCCCCAACAACGATCAACTTACCCTTTTATTGCACAGACTCTGCACACAGTAAAGAACATTATTACATTGTTTTCGCCATTCAAGGGCACAAACATCTCCCATGAAAACATTCTTCTCATCTGTCAAGTTGGCACCTGGGAAGTTAAGCCTGTTAAGTGCTATCACCTCAAATTTTCTAGGAGAGAGTTTTTGTCACGTACTTCTGCAGGAAGCTCCCAACACAGCCTAAATACAGATGTGTAGCTACACTAGGCAAAATTGCTAACGCACCACTTACTATTTCTTGGATTGTTTTAAATTTGAACGCAACAAAGATTGATTTGTATATTATTTTAATAGTTTATTATAATACAGAAAACAAAAACATCATTTGTTGCAAACCTATAATACAGTTGCGTTCAATACAGTTTATGGAACTTTGGTACCCCCATTACATGATTCACATATCAATATCGGGTATGGCCACCATTTGCTCAGATTACTCCTAAGTATCTCTGCCTCATGGAATTGATGTAATTGTGTAAGAATCTTTGTGGTAAATTGTTCCACTCATTCAAAATGACCCTTCGCAGTTGTACAAGATTTTGTTGAGCAGGCAGTCGACGAATTCGCCTATCCACCTCGTCCTACACATTTTCAGTTGGGTTAAGATATGGGCTACACGGCGGCCAGTCTAAAACCCTGATATTTTTCCTATGCAGCATCTCTCTTGTCGTCCTTGCAGCATGACACGGAGCATTATCCTGCATGAACACCACTCCACGATTGGCTCGCACATGTGGTATCACACAAGGCCGGATGATCAGATCCTGATATCTTTGAGCATTCAAATTTTGATTTACGATTACTGCCTGAGTCTTTGTGTGCAAAGAGATTCCGGCCCAGATCACCACAGAACATCCTCCAAACTGTCCCTTTTCTTTAACACAAGGTACACTGTACCTTTCGCCTCTCCTGCGATAAACTCTCAATCTTCCATCTGAACGACGTAAATTGAACCTTGTCTCATCCGTAAATAAGACATTTGCCAAATCAGCACGAGTAAATCTCAGATGTCGTCTTGCCCACTGCAGGCGGATCCGCCGATGTCTTTGAGTTAATACAATACCAACAAATGGACGCCTTGCCCACAAACCAACCTCTCTAAGTCGATTTCGCACTGTTTGGGCACTGATGTTGCGTTGGTGGTTACCAATGGTCATCATTGATGTTGCAAAGGCTGTCGTGCCTCTGTCTCTCAAGTGAGATAAAGCGATGTGTCTGTCTTGTCGCCTAGTAGTTACCCGGCGCTTCGGAATCCTTACTCGGTCCATCATACTTCCGGTTTGCACGAATTTCCGGTATAACCTTGCAATTGAAGAGTGGTGCCTATTAAACACTGTGGCTACCTTAAAAAGACATTTTCATATTAAATAAGCTTGCCGCATTATGTTTTAGCCAATTTTCAACAGCAATCGTTAAATCATTTACAATTTTTACTAACCTCTCTAAAGGAGCACCCTGCAGAGACCATACCAGCTGCCCTTCCACGCTCTTCTGTGATCAAACGCCGCATACCCCGTCGGTTTTTGGTGAGTTTTTATGAATGCATGCATTATACGAATACAAAAAAGAAAGTAAAGATTAATTCTTCCAAAAAGTGTGAACACGATTTTTAAGCATTTCTAAAGAACAGTTACGCTTCAGTTCACATTGAATCCATTTATCCGTTTGGGCATTTAAATGTCTTACTTATAACTAAGGTAACCTATTTAAACATTAAATACATCTTAAACAATTTTTTTAGGGTGTAAATATTAATTTTCTTAGATGTTGCGTTAACACTTTTGCCTAGTGTATTTATTAGTCCCCTACCGGTGAAACCGGAGGGGACTTTAAGTTTCCTCTGAGTCTGTCCGTAGGTCTGTCTGTCTGACTGTCCGTCTGTCTAGATGTACTTCTGTCTGTCTGTAACACTTTCGTTTCCGCGTGATATCTCAAGAACCCTTTGAGCTTTTGCAATGAAAATTTGCATAACAACTCCCTATGGACTAAAAAAGAAACCTATTGATCTTGAGATCAAAAGGTCAAAGGTCAGGGCCATAAATTCATAAATTCTGTCTGTTTAAACACTTTCGTTTCCGCGCGATATCTTGCGAATTCTTTAAGCTTTTGCAAGGAATTTTACAAAACAACTCCCTGTGGCCTAAGGAAGACCTCTATTGATTTTGAGGTCAAAAGGTCGAAGTTCAAGGTCGTAAATTCACAAATTCCGTCTGTGTGTAACTTTTTCGTTTCCGGGCGATATCTCAAAAGGCTATTGAGCTTTTGCAAAGAAATTTTATACCATGACTCCCTATGGCATCTCTCGCCCCTCTCAAAATGTCCTGCCCCGTTTTTTTTATTTATTGAATATTTAAAAGTCGCTTGGCACTATTTTTAGCACGGGGGCATGTGGAGAGTAATTACGTATAATACAGGTTGTCTGCCGACTTTATATTCTAAATACATTTATTAGAACTGTTTAGTAAAGGCTAAATTAGAAAATATGTAATGTGTAAAATTTTGACAATATCGAATGTGAATATAAACATTATATGTGACCTAATGTT